GGGTCTTGAATTGCTTAAAAATGAAAAAATTTCTTTAAAATTAAAAGAAAAGTGAAAAAAGTTATTTAAAATTAGAAAAAAATTACTTGAATAAGAAACTTTAACCATATTTTAACTAACTCAATTATAATTAAATATTCAATTTTATTATTAAACAATTTTAATTAAAAACTCCTATATGACTTAGCTGCTACCCTGTACCTTTTTTAATCAAAACTATTATCTTTTCTGCATGAAATTTTAGCAGTTAATATGAGTTCGTATATTTCTTATTCATATGTTAGAATCAGTACATTAAAAGAGACACAACATAATTTAAAGAAAGACTTTGAAAGATAACGTTTAGATTTGTTGCCAAACCCATGTTGAATATGCTAATGTTGTACCGCCAAAAGAATTGTATATTAACATTTTAGTATATAATTTTTTTTAATGAATATTACTTTTGAATATACAAATGGTTGATGATATCTTCATAATCTATTTCTCACAAACATCCATCTTATAATTCTATTTTAACAATATATAATAATTTGTTTTTTTATTATATCAATAAATAGTTGTTAAATTATTTTTTTAATTTATATTTTTCCCATACAAATGTATCATGATTACATTTTTTTTAAAGAATATATATGTATATTATTTTAATAGATATTTTATCGATAGATTGAAAGAAATGTGATTAAAAGTTGAATTTGTTTAAATTTTCACTCAAATTTCCACCTGTTTGTATATTCATTTAGTTATTATTATTATTATTATTATTATTATTATTATTATATTGACTCTTTTCGTTACCTAATTTTATTTGACATTCAACTTGATTATTTGAGTGACCAACTTTTTAAATAGTTGGTCAAAATCTTCACTGGACCTCCAATCTAATATATTATTGTCATTTATGAAACCTTTTTCATTTAATTGTTGGATGGAGAGAGAGAAAATGTTATTAAAAAAAATTTGTCCAAATTTTTACTTAATTTCTTTTTACATATTAATTACTAAAATTCATTTCAATGACAAATTTGTCCATTGTCTAATTTTCATTAATGTCCAATTTGATTGTTATTTAAAGCGAAAAAAATATAATTTAAAGTTAATTATTGTGTCTTATATTTACTAATTTGTAGAAGTTTTTTATTAGCTCTCCTGTTACCTAATTTTAACATAAGATGGCATTTCACTAGCATTCACTAGTTAGTGCAACAATTCTTAGGCCACTAATTTTTTTATTATTAAAGTTAGATTGTAACTAAAGTTAAAATCAGCAACTATTTCCATTGTAGCTTGTCATTTCTCGTCCATGCTCGTGGACGGAAAGAACAAACCATGAGAAGCATAAATGTATAGTCAAACATAATTCATATAAAATTTAAACATGTTTTGTAAAAGGTGATTTAATTTCTTGATTTACAGTATGTGAAAAGGTAAGTAAGTGTATGGATGAATAAGATGGGGAGGGGTAGTGTGAAGTGAAACATGGGAAGGTTGGTTGAATGATTAATGATGTTTGAAAAATGAGAATAAGGATAAAAGAAGGAGGTGAATATGTGAAGGTGAAAAAGTAAAGAAGGAAGAAGAAATGGTGGTCCAAGTTCAGAGGCATATGATAGAATTGAAGATACAGCAGAAGATGCCGGCCACGTGAATGGTTAACTTTAAAAAAAATAAAAATAATAATAATAATAATAATAAGTTAGTAGATAAAGTGGGGTCCAGAGAGCCACGTAATATGGATGGGTGGGCGAAAGCAGGTGGGACCCACTCTATCCTTTCTACTAATTCTCATCACCAGCAGGCGCAGGCCCCGATATTTGTTAAGAAAAATAATAATAATCAACAGTAACACCCCTCTTCTTACACGTGTCACACCTTCTTTTTACCACTTCATTTGCCTCTCTATCTTCTTCGGATAAACTTTTGCTTTTCCGCTTCCCCAGGTCAACTCATGCAAAATACATCTAACTATGGCTACCACTCCATGCATATCTTAATTTATTCACATTTCATACAAATTTCACCCTCCATTCTACCAATTCCATTTCAAAACTACCATTTTTTTAAACATCTCTACTTTTTTTTTTCCTTGAAATTAAAATATCATTTTAATTATGCATCAATTTCTTATTTAACATCTAAATTTTCTTTCCTTGGTAAAATATATTGTACTATTATTTTCAGCGTGTATTTGTTTCATTTATTTAGTTTCGCAAAAAAAACTTCAAACTTGGTATTTATTATCTCTAAATTCACTGAAATTTCATTTGTCTATATATATATATTCAAAACAAATGCAGCTTTTCTACAGTTTTTTCTCGTGTATCCTAGTTTATCGAGTTAGAATGGTTAACCATATTGTCACGTTATATATTGTCCTTTGATAACGCCTGAAAAAGATATTTAATTACTATATTAATTTATCATAAATGTATAGATATCCAAATACATAAATTAAAAATACTATAAGATAAAGGTTCGATTTATAAATTTTATAACAGTTGTACTTTTAATTTTTTAGTTATTTAAGGTTTGCTTTTCTTGAAATTTTGAATTTGGGATTAAAAGAAAAATCCTATTTTGATTATTATTATTATTAATATAAAAAATTGTGTTAACAAATAAAGCAACGTGTAAAGAAGGGCAAGAGAGATTGAAGGAGCAACGTGGCATTGAAAGATTAGTCCCGATATAAGAGGCGTGGTTGCCATGTCAGCAGTCAAAAGTTGTCCGTGAGTGAAAGACGACGCCCATACGCCACGTTCTTAGGCACAGCAGCCACGTGGCCATTTCAAGGAACTTGTATTACCTTTTGATTGCACATCAAATTTCATACCAAATATCAATGTCACTACTCCGCCACCCACCCCCGTACACCAAAAAGAATAAAAAGAAAAAAAAAAAAAAAAGTTGGAAACTAAATCTTCTTGAAAGAAGAAAGAAGTGAAGGAAGGTTGCGGCCTCCGTGTGAACATGGATTGGGATGCTGTTGGCAAGGAAGTACTCATCCTGCTTTTTCTCTTTTAAAAGTTTCCATTTTTCCCACTGTCCATCATTTTTCCTCATTTCTATCCACTTTTCCACCCTGCATTCAAAACCACACTTATCTCCAATTATTCTCATCCCTTTTAACTATTAAATTGATTAATTATACTGCATACTTCTTCAATTTGTTTCCAAAATAATATAATTTTGTAAAACAATTCCCAAAAACAATTTTGTAAATACTGCATAATTTTTTTATACATTACAATAAATATATTTATAAATAGCAGTATAAAAATAGTTAGTTTATTAAATAATAATAATAAAAATAATAATAGATATATATCATAAAATAAAAACTAAATTTTATGTATATATTAATAATATATTTATAATTACATTTAATAAATTCATTTTAAAAATGTAATAATGTATAATTTGAAAATATATCATTAAAATTTTATAAGTAAATTAGCAAGTCGAAACTTAATTTTTACATTTTTATATTTTATCAAATTTAATGATCTTAATTTTAATTGATTGAAATAAAATAATGTTAATTATATATATATAATTTAAAATTAATTATTATTTAACATATATTAAATTAGTTTATTTTAAAAATTTTACACAATACAGAGTGTTATATATATATATATATATATATATATATATATATATATATATATTTATTGTAGTATTCAAGTGACAATATAATTTTGTAATGGTTGTGTATTAGGTTGTAAATAGTATTTGCAAATTGAAAATTTTATAAAAAGTTGTTCATGTGTAGATAATTTTTTGTTAATATTTATACATATTTTTCAGCAAGAAATTTGTATGTATAAAGTCTATGAAGAGGAACTGAATTCTATTGATTTAAAATAGCTATATTAAACAAATTATTAAATGATGATTGAATAATTTTATTAGATGATTAGAAAATGTTCTACCTGTGAATTTAATGAGATTACATATTTAATGAAGTATAAACTTAATATGAAATGTTTTATTGAATAACTATTACAAATATTTGTGGTGTAAGTCGGTTTGGTTTGGTTTTAAAAAATTATTTAAATTAAATTAAGTTAATATTTTGTAGTTTAATGTATACTATTTTATTGTTTTTTTATTATATTTAAATTTTTTATATTCATTTTTAAATAGAAGATATTGGTTTTAAAATTTGTTTAATCTAAAAAATAGAAAGAGATCAATTTTCTTTATTTCAAATTTTATTTCAATCTTTAGTAAAAGTGGTAAAGAATAAAATTAAATATTTTATTATAGATTTTATAAATGTATTATTTAAAACTTAGTCTTTTATATAAGTAAATTTTTTCTAAATTTAAGTAATTTTTTAAAAGTAATTCATATGTAGAATATTAATTATATATATGAAAAAAATGTCCTGTCTGGTATTTGAAATAATGTTTATTTTTGTGTTTTTTTTGTCACGGTTTTGTCTTTAAAAGGTGTTTTGGTGTATTAAGAAATAAAATTATATTTAAATTATTTTTAGTTTTGACTCTTAAGCGATTTGAAACTCATGAACATACCGGAACATAAATCTCCTAATTAAAAACTAAAGGGTATGAGTGAGTGAAACAAGACTCTACCTCGACCTATAGTGGACACCAATATTCTTGTTTATGAACGAAAATGTGATGACCTAATTTTCACTATGATAACATTATTAGATCATATCTTATGTTTGAGATATTGTCCACTTTAAAGTTTTCATCCGTAACAGTTTTATAATTAAAATACGTATCAGAGGATCAATAAAGAAAAGTATATTTAAACTACCATTGATTTTTTGATTTCTAAACAAGACTCATAAACATATTCTCTCTATATATATGGGGTAAAAAATTAATAGTACTTTTATTATATATTAGATTACTCTAGTTAACATCACTTATGTGATAAAAATAACTGCTATGTGTATATTAGAAATTGACAAGATTTTAAATCAATTATTTAATTAAATGTACTTTTACATATTTAAGCATTCATTTAAATTTGGGAGTGGATTTGAGCGAGTGGGAAGGAAGAGAAAACTAGTTTAAAGTAAAGTTGCTTGGATTGGATAAATAAGAAATAAGTAAAAAGATAAAAAGGATAAATTGATAGATTGAATTAAAAAATTGAAATAATAATTTAAAATATGTAATCATTAAAATACCTTTACTTTGAGAAGGGATATAATAAGTATACATTTGATATAATTTAATTTAAATTAATTAATTTATATTATACATAAAATTGTAAGATATATCAATATTATTTTATATATAAAATATAAAAATAATTTGTAATTATTATTTATAAATCATATATAAATTATAATTTGTGATTGTTTTAAAATTACTCAAAATTATTTAAAATAATTCTTAATTATTAATTACAAATGATATATGAATTTTATTTCAAGTACTAATTGAAAAATAAAATATAATGAAATAATTCATAATAAAAAATAAAATTAGTTACATGTTAACAATTTAATTTTATATTTAAATATAATTTTGATTTTATTATAATAAAAATTATAAATCACGTATAATTATAAATATATTTTATTAATATTATTTTATATATAAATATAATAATAATTTTTAAATATAATCGATTAGTTATTATATAATTGATTATTTATATTATATAATTGATTATACAAATCAAAATTTTATGATTGATTATGTTATTTATAAAATTATATTCAAAACATAATTACATGGTTATATACATAAATAAAATTGAATATAAATTATTAAAAATAACATATAATGAAAAATAGGATTATGCAATAGTAAAAAAGTTAAATTTAAACTTATATATAATATATACATATAATTACTAAGTGAAAAAAGAAAATATATAATATTATAGATTATAAATAAAAAATTATGAAATGAGATAATATATCTGAGGACAACATAAATAATCAACATTCCGTAGATAATTTTCTAATGCATCTCCTTTTATAAAAAGATAAAGATAATGTATTTAAGTATCACAAACTTTCTTTGAATCAGCAAAAATAACTTAATACTTTTATGTTCACATCTACATCCATAATTCTTTATAAATACTAAAGCTGTGTATCCAAACAAATACTAAGTAATTATCAATTGAATATATAATCATAATTCAATTTTTTTACTAAATATAATTAAATAGTAATAAATATTACTCTTAACATCTAGATTCAATAAAGTAGTGTATTCAAAAAATTGCAATTTAATTTTGAAATTTATATAATATAATTTGATTCTAATAATTATATATGATGTGATAACTTTGTAAACATTAAAATTTAATTATATAATTATAGTTACATAGTTAGATTATCATCTTTATTGGTTGTGTATTTAAATGATATGACATCAAATATATATTAATATATTAAATATTTTGGATAATAATAATGATGGGCTCTAAGATATTTTGAAGTATATATAAATATTATTTTATATATATTTGAATATTTTGAAGTCTTGGGTAGGATTTTAGAATTCCTTTTAAAAATACTCAATATTTATTACCTGATTTTGTATATATCTTTCTGTAGGCTTACACTTCTCAATGCCGTGGTCTGAGATTATAAATCTTAAACTTGATGATAAGTCGCGTATAGGTCAGGTTAACAAAAGACGTGAGTGGAGTAAAAGATCACTCGTATAACTAATATATAATATAACACCCTATTTTTTACTATATTTTTATAAACAAGTGTATAATAATTATATTTGTAATAATACATAAAAATAAATTTTATTTTTGTCGTTCTTTCTGAATGATTAAAAATGAATAAAAAACGAGCATTGTTCCTGATAACCCAAATTCTGTTTGCTTTTTGGATTTTGTTTTGCAAAAACTTACTGTTAAAAAAGATCGCATTTCTTATCTCTAAAATTCATGAAACGATTTTCAACTTATCTGTTCGTTATACTGGCAATTAAAACTGTAGTTGCAATAAATAACGTTATCCTCTTATTGATTTTTTATTGTACCCCTTTCTTGTATTTAGAATGGAATAGTCCCATTATTTTCTGCATTCTGTCTCACATTTTCCATTCACACTGCTCAATAAGGATTCAAAATTCATATAGTCATACGCATGATTTAATATTCTTGAGTAAAAGGGTTTTTGTTAATAAAAAAAATCTTTTAAATCTGTTATAATAGTATTCAAATCGATCTTTCCTTAGTTCTGACTGAGAAACGGCCACATTAAAAAAGTATTCTGTTTATAATTCTAACATGGATCTTATATTATTTAACTTTAGGCAACGTGGTGTCGTCAATTATTATATATACAAAAAAAAAAAAAAAAAAAATATATATATATATATATATATATATATATATAATCAGTATATGGCTAACAAGAATTGAAATGTTATTTCTCTTACGTTGCCGTAAAGACCACGTGATCCTATGAATTGGCATTCAATTCATATTTCCCCTTTTTCATCCTTTAACACTCCTACATCCTTATCCGCTTCTACCGGCTATATCCGGTGAACTTCCCAACCCCTAAAACAAAACTATACCCACAGTAAGGTAATAAATGAAGGATAACGCCATCGGAGGAGAGAGAGTAGTCGGTTACAGTTATCAGTGAGTAGAGAGAAGAGTCGCGAAGTAGGAAACTGAGATGAGAGAACAAGAAACGTGGACCGTAGGATGAAGGCGTTTGCATAATAAAAAAAAACAACCGGTTGGGTTTTCCTTCTCTTCGTTCTTATCCACGCCAGTGTCATAGTTTTCTTGCAGACAAAAACGCCACCCACGCTCTTCCATTATGGAAGGTGCATCAGTATCGGGGATTTCAATCACTCAAAGATTTATCTTTCGCTGATACCACCATCATCTCAATCATAGTAACAAAATAAGGGACACTTCCCACGAGAAAAACCTCTTTTTTTGTTATTTATTCTTTTCTTTCCGGACAATGCTATCAAGATCTTGCTTGGGGCTCTTGAATTTGGTATCGGTGGATGATTACCAAGCACTGGGAAGGGTTCCGAGGGTGGTGACGACGGCGGCCGGTGACGTACCGGAGTTGGAGATGAACGGCATGGAGAATTCTGGATCCGACGAGGTGTTTTCGCCGGTGTCCCGCGAGAGGAGGATCGTGGTGTCGAATCAGTTACCGATACGCGCGTTTCGTGAGGGGAAAAAATGGAGGTTCGAGTGGGACAGAGACAGCCTCGTCCTTCAGCTGAAAGACGGGTTCCCTTTGGATGTGGAAGTGTTGTACGTTGGTTCCTTGAAAGCAGAGATCGAAGCGTGTGAACAAGAAGAAGTGGCTCAGTTACTCCTCGAAAGGTTCCGCTGCGTTCCAACGTTTCTACCACCAGAGGTTCACAACAAATTCTACCATGGTTTCTGCAAGCATTACCTGTGGCCTCTCTTCCACTATATGTTACCCATGTCGCCGAGCCAGGGCGCCCGTTTCGACCGCGACCAGTGGAAGGCCTACGTTCTCGCCAACAAGATCTTCGCCGACAAGGTAACCGAGGTAATAAACCCGGACGAAGATTATGTCTGGGTCCACGATTATCACCTCATGATCCTCCCCACTTTCCTCCGGAAGCGGTTCCACCGCGTGAAGCTGGGATTCTTCTTGCACAACACGTTTCCCTCCTCGGAGATATACCGGACTTTGCCGGTGCGCGAGGACATTCTCCGGGCGTTTCTCAACTGCGATTTGATTGGATTCCATACGTTCGACTACGCGCGGCATTTCTTGTCGTGTTGCAGCAGGATGTTGGGGCTGGATTACGAGTCCAAGAGGGGTTACATTGGTTTAGATTACTACGGTAGGACCGTGACGATTAAGATCCTCCCCGCGGGGATCCACATGGGCCTCTTGGAGTCAGTGTTGTCTTTGCCGCAGACCGCGACAAGGGTAAAGGAATTGCAGAAGGAGTACGAGGGCAAAGTTGTGATATTGGGTGTGGATGACATGGACTTGTTCAAGGGGATTAGTTTGAAGTTCTTGGCTTTGGGGAAGCTTCTGGAAGAGGACGAAGGTTTGCGGGGTCGTGTGGTGTTAGTTCAGGTTCTGAATGCGGCCAGGAGCAGAGGGAAGGATATTCAGGACGTGAAGAGCGAGAGCGAGGCTATTGCGAGGGAGATCAATGAAAAGTATTCGCAACCGGGGTACAAGCCTATTGTTTTTGTGAACGGACCGATTTCCACGCAGGAGAAGGTAGCATATTACTCTATTTCCGAGTGCTGCGTCGTGAATGCTGTGAGGGATGGGATGAATTTGGTGCCTTACGAGTATACTGTGTGTAGGCAGGGAACTGTAGCTTTGGATAAGGCGCTTGGGGTTGGAGGTGAGGATAATAAAGCCTTTAAACAGAGCGTTATCATTGTGTCTGAGTTCATAGGGTGTTCCCCTTCTCTCAGTGGAGCCATCAGGGTGAATCCGTGGAACATTGATGAAGTCGCTGAGGCCATGAATTCGGCTGTCACAATGTCGGAGGCAGAGAAGCATTTGCGCCATGAGAAGCATTACAAGTACATAAGCTCTCATGATGTGGCTTACTGGGCTAGGAGTTTTGATCAGGATTTAGATAGAGCTTGTAGAGAGCATTATTCCAAGAGGTACTGGGGTGTTGGATTTGGATTGGGGTTTAGAATTGTTGCTTTGGATCCTACCTTTAGGAAGCTCTCTGTGGATTACATTGCCTATGCTTATAAAGATACACACAATCGGTTGATCCTTTTGGACTACGATGGCACCATGATGCCGCAGGCCTCGATAAACAAGACTCCAAGCAGGGAAGTTATTTCTGTCTTGAATTTCTTATGCAGCGACCCCGAAAATATGGTGTTCATTGTGAGCGGCAGGGATAAAGATTGCTTGAGTAAATGGTTTTCTCCCTGTGAGAAATTGGGTCTATCTGCTGAGCACGGTTACTTCACTAGGTACATTGAATTTCCATGTTGTAGAAGATTGGTAGAGTTGGGTTTCGGTGTTTCTTGTTTTGATATCTTTTCGTTTTTTATTTGTTTGCAGGTGGAGTGGGGATTCTCCTTGGGAGACTTGCGGATTGACAACAGATTTTGAATGGAAAATGATTGCAGAACCTGTGATGGCGCTTTATACGGAAGCAACGGATGGTTCCTTTATTGAACACAAGGAAAGCGCAATGGTTTGGCACCACCAAGAAGCAGATCCTTATTTTGGATCATGCCAAGCAAAAGAGCTTCTTGATCACTTGGAGAGTGTGCTGGCCAATGAGCCGGTTGTGGTTACAAGGGGACAACATATAGTTGAAGTTAAACCGCAGGTAAATAATCTTAAATCAGGGCCTAAATGTTTAGTTGTTTGCTTAGATAATGGTTTGTTTTGTTATGCAGAGACACGAAAAAGATTATTCATTTTAATTGGGAATAAAGTTGTTTATCAAGGTGAATTTTGGTGGTGATTCGTTGGATTATTTGTTGTATGAGATGCAGGGTGTGAGCAAGGGTAAAGTGGTGGAAGACCTTATCTCAACCATGCGAAGTAAGGGAAAGTCTCCAGATTTTCTACTATGCATTGGTGATGATCGCTCAGATGAAGATATGTTTGAAAGCATTGCCCGTTCCGTGTCTAATCCGGCCCTGCCAACCATATCTAAAGTGTTTGCATGCACTGTTGGACAGAAACCAAGTATGGCTGAATACTATTTGGATGATACTAGCGAAGTAATCAAGTTGCTTGAAGGACTTGCATCTCCATCAGCACCATCCACATCCATAATAAATTCTCAGGAACTGTGAGGAACATTATAGAAACTGATACAGAAAACAATCTTTGTACAGAATGATACTTTCATAGGTTGATTTTAAAAGGTCAATACTTAGAAATTTACAGATTAGCTGATTCATGTTCTTCACATAATTTGCAGTAAAAAAATTCGTTTTTCGTATGACAAGGATTATGAGTTTCTGCACCGTTCAATGAAACATGCCTAACAGCAAACTTTCAACAATAAAATATGGTTTAAGGAGACAACTAAGTTCCTTGATAATGATCAAATTGGGTTGGTGGATTAGGTCTTGGGCAGTAGCTGTCATTTTTACGAAGTAAAATTTTACAATTACTCTATTATTTTCGTTGACTGCCAGCGGAAGTTTCCTTGGTTTCTGAGTGAAAACTGAAGTTTGCAATACTGAATTTCCTTTTTTTTTTTGGTGGGATGGTAGTTGCTGTGATATTGCAAATTCTACGGAAAAAGTACGATTTTTGGATTTTAATTAAATTTAGGCACGAGTTTCTTATGATGAAGGCTCAGAGCACGCCGTTGTAGTCCTGAAAAGGTTTGAAGTACCACTTAAATCGTGACAGGCTGGCAAACTTGTTTTTCCTTGCAAAGAACTCGTCACAGATGCAACAGTGCGTGTTAATTGTCTACAATCTACATTAACCCTCATTTGTCTATTAAGTACATCAACTTTTTACCAATGTTCGACGCAATAATAAGAAATAACAATGAATGTTAAATTGAGGTACCGTCCTTAATCTCAGAGTAAATTTTGAAATTCACCAACCTTTTATCAGAAAAATCAGCAGATGTTCAAACCTCTCTGCTCTATCCTATCCAGCCAGAAATTACTATTTCTTTCAGGTACTTACATACTATTAAGACTATATCTGGATAATTCCTAAAAGAAAGAATATATGTGGGTAAAAGTTAGGAGTACCCTTTTAGAATTTCTAATGCACATCTTTAACTATAAAACACTAAATAAATAGAGAAAAAAAAAAGTTTTGGAAGTTAGAATATTTCTGAAGTCTCTCAATTGATATCTAGATATGCGCAAATAAATACAGTAAAATAGTAGTTCTATAAGAATTATACGAATACCGGTAACAATGGTTAGTTAGGAGGAAAGCAGAAGATATACCCATTTTCTTATAAATATTTGAAGATGCTGTGTTAATGAAGTATGTTCTTATTCTCCCCACCTAAAACTAGTCATAATATTTATTACTTTATTTTGCAAGTCCTTGCTCCGTTAGCAGAACCACTAATTTTAAAACAGCTTGAATGCAACTACGTGTTGATATTTTTCTTTTGAAATTTCAGCGAGTCGGCAGAAGCTTGAAATCCAGTATCCAACCACTTGCTCAAACTTTTCCAAGTAAAAGAACTATTTTCTTTGGCTGGCTCCGACTATAGAACCCATTTTCCTCTTTCTTAGTCATCAACTAAAAGCAGCTTATCCCACCTAAAACCAGTTTTATGATTGACTTGAAAGTTCAGTACATGATGAGTTATCTTGAAGCCTAATGATCCAATAAGATTTGGCCAAGTAAACTAAAACTCTGAGCCACGGGGACAAAGACTTGGCTAGCATATTCATGAAATGCTTCAATCACATAAAAAGGTTGTATCTTAATAAGCTTGTGTTACATTGACACATGGCAGGGAACCTGATGGAATGATCTTATCCATGTCATGTGACCCATTCTCGGGCATCAATTGTTTCTTCAGAGGGAGCTGATGGACAGTGAAAACAAGCTTCCTTAAACTAGTAGATAAAGTTATCTCATATTTGAAAAGATACAACCACATGCTTCCTTTGGATATCCCAATCCAGTACAAAAATGAGGTCAAAGTCACTGAAACGTGTGCGCCAAATTTTCTTCTCGTTTGGTTCCTCGATCCACTACTTATTATGCTTCCTTTCCGTTTCATAAATTTGGAATGTGATCCATCAATCTAGGTGTAGTCCACATCAATGTTACACATGGCAAAGGGTGCGCCAGTAACGTGTCAAGGATATAGAACTGGTTC